AGAGAAAAGGAAGAAAGGAGGGAAGGAAGGAGGGAGGGGAGAGGGAGGGAGAGAGGAAGGAAGGAAGGAGAAGGAAGGAAAAGGGGGAGGAAGAGAGAAAAGGAAAGGAGGGAAGGAAGGAAGGAGAGGGGAGGGAGGGAAAGAGGAAGGAAGGAAGGAGGAGGAAGGAAAAGGGGAGGGAAGAGAGAAAAGGAAGGAAGGAGGGAGGGAGAGGGAGGGAGGAAGGAAGGAGAAGGAAGGAAAAGGGGAGGGAAGAGAGAAAAGGAAGGAAGGAGGGAGGGAGAGGGAGGGAGGAAGGAAGGAGAAGGAAGGAAAAGGGGGAGGAAGGGAGAAAAGGAAAGGAGGGAAGGATAGAGGGAGGGAGAGAGGGAGAGAGGAAGGAAGGAGGAAGGAAAAAGGAGGAAGAGAGAAAACGAAGGAGGGAAGGAAGGAAGGAAGGAATGAGAAAGGGGCAGAAAGAACAACATACATTTTTGGACTCAACTGTGGTCCTAACTCAAGGACTGTCTGTACTCATCACCCCCATTAGCAGCAAGAGGACCAGAAGTGGCTGTTCTCCCCCCTTCCCCCAGCCACCACACCCAGACCCATCCTCCACAGCCTCGAGGGGGCCCTGGCAGCCACGCTGGGCTGCAAAGCCATTAGCAAATGGGTTTGGCCTGGCCAGGATGGCGACGTGCCCAATTTTATGTCCAGAGGGGGCCAAACGGGAGGGGCTGTTTGGCTAATGGTTTTGCTCCCTGGCCAGCCACGGGGGGGGGGGTGTAAAGAGAGATAACCCTGGCCAAGGCCTGGTGGGAAGGCTCACGAGCCCGGGTTCAAGCGCACACGCGTGTGCACACGCTTTGCCTCTGCTAGCTGGGACTCTCTCCCAAAGCAGAGCGGAATTTGTGGGTTTCTTTGGAGAAGAGTACCTCTGAGCATGTTGGGCAGCCTCCATCAGAGGTTCAGGCTCGAAAGCACTCTGCATATGCTCGGAGCTCCTAGGATCCGGGGCCTGGCTTTTCAAATTTGGCCCCTTGAAGGTGGGTGGACTTCAACTCCCAGAATCCCCCAGCCAGCAAAGCTTAAAAAAGTGGCCCAGGCTGAGAGACACTGAACTAGGTAGCCCTTCTGGCCCTTTCCAACTCTATCATTCATAGCTGGCTGGGGAACTCTGGGAGTTGAAGTCCAAACATCTTGAAGATCTAGTTTAAAAACCCCACCAGCCTCATTGTGCCACGGAAGAAATTGCCCCGTGCTGCACCGGGAAGTGTGCCAGCCACGTGCCCTGTTGCACACAAGCATGCCCACCTCCTTAACCACACACACACACACACACACACACACACACACACACACACACACACGCACCCTGCTGCAGGGCATCCAGGGCTCCTTCTGAAGCCGCCCAGGGGCCCCCCAGGAGCCCAAGGCAGTTTAGACTGGAGCATTGTTGGTTTCTGGTGCTCACAAGCGATGCGCAGGCAGACACGGGTCAGCAGCATGTGAGAATGGGGAAAGGCTGTGCGATGGGGGTCAGGGCACCTGGAAGGTGTCTG